TCTATCTATCTATCTATCTATCTATCTATCTATCTATCTATCTATCTATCTATCTGTCTCCCCAGCCTGATGTAGAGGATGACTTCCCTCTGGCGAGCATTATAGACATCGTGAAGAAACTGGGGCCTGTTCTGAAGCTGCTGCAGAGAAGAGACACCATCGAGTCTCAGGACTTTGACTTCGGACAGTCGGTCAAGGAAACCCAGTGGGGCCAAGTGGTCAACGACGTGAAGGGAATTATTCAAGACATCAACACGATCAAGAGCAACGTAGCTCCGATCTTTGGTCGAAGGGATGCCCCCGAAGTGGAGATGGAGGATGTAGATTTCTCCCAATGGACGGGAAACGTTAAGAAAGTAACAGGAGCTTTGGCAGATTGGTCTGCAAATTTAGGCCAAACCCCCGTCTTGGGTTGAAGGTCCCTTTTTGTAAAAATGTTTTAAATTATCGCCACATATCGACTGGTTAGTTTATGTATGTAAGACTCCACCAGACGCCACTTTGAAAAGCTGCGTATGAAAGAAAGACATGTGCTCTTATATTAAACTGAGTAGTCAATATGATGACTGTCGCAATGATAGGAATTATCAGTCTCTCGTCTGATGTATTAGAATAAAGACCTCTCCTTTGTAAACTCACACAATATTCATATCAAATGCTCTCTCTGGAATTATTTGAAGAAGGAGTTTATTAAACGATTAGTTCGTTTAACCATTTGTATGCTGTTGTTTTTTCTATATTCATCTAGTAATTAGTTGTTGTCAGCTGTTGGCGATAGATTACCCTTTGGAATAAATAAGCTAAAGTTACGCCATTTTTCAGATTTACTTATTAAATGAGATATTGCTTTCTCACCCACCCCCCGCGGAAAAAAATGTCCCAAAATTGTTGATCGAATTGGTCACTATAATTTGTCTCCAAAGGAGACGTTATTTTTAATGTCTGGTTTCAAAGATTTTCATGCCGATGTTAACAAATGAATTTTAGTTATAAAATATTGTGTTTCCTAGTTTTAAAAAAATAAACATTGAATACATAGCCAGGAATACTTGGTAGATTTTACGGGCATGACCGGTTTTTTTCGATTGCTAAATATAAAAAAAAGAGATAGCTATCTGTTTGATAAACAATGCAAAAGTATTCATTAAATCTCAGCGACTTATCCAAACTTGATGACGTAAGAGTTGTTAACAGCCTATGTTTGTTTACAGCCATCTTTCAATCGGTATGGCATCTACATGAAGGGAAATGGCGGGGACATCTCCTCCTCTCCTTCCTCCTCTTCCCTCGTCCATTTTTTCCTCCTGTTCCTCCTCTTCTTCAACCTCGTCCTTCAGCTCTTCCCCTTCATTCCTCCTTTCCTTCCTCCTTTTCCCTCGTCCATTTTTTCCTCCTGTTCCTCCTCTTCTTCAACCTCGTCCTTCAGCTCTTCCCCTTCATTCCTCTTCTTCTTCCTCTACCTTGTCCTCCCCTCCTCTTTTTTATCTCCCCCTTCCTCTCTTCCTCGTTCTCCTCCTCCACCTCCTTCCTTCTCCTTTGCCCCAACAACCTTCTCCACACCTTCACCTTCCATAAAAAAATGTTGGTGCTTTTACGCCCCCGTCGACATAATGTGTGAGGCAGCGTGGTGGAATCAGGCTCTCGTCAATTTTGGGGCATGTAGAGGTATTGGTATCAGCTTAAAGCTTGTTCACTTGTCTTTATTTGGATGAAAAAAAGTATCGATTTATCTTGAATACACGTC